TCAACACGAGATAGGAGGAGGGAGGGGGGCGTAGAAACCGCCGCCACGTCACTGTGAAAAGGAAGAGGAAAGAAAAGGGTGGGAGGAGAGACTTTAATTACCGGCGGGCGAATTCGCAACCGGACGCACCCACGGGGCAGATTACCCCGGTAATATTACCGAGTTTTATTGCGGGGAGGGAGGGGGAGAGAGAGAGAGAGAGAGAGAGAGAGAGAGAGAGAGAGAAGGAGAAAGGAAGAGGAAGGGAGAAGTCGAGGTCTGAATGCGGCATGACTCACGGCACACTCATCTGGCACCGATGTTTCTGCTCTTATTGCAGCCCCTCTCGCCATCTCCCACCCTTAAACACGATACATCTCTCTCCCTCCCTCTACACCTTCTTTCTTTCCTCTTCCTTCCTCCTGCTCTCCTCCTAAACGATCCATCCCTCGCTCGTTTCCTTCACCCTTTCTCCGCCGAATTCTTTCCGACCCCTTTCTCCACAGCCGGCTTTTCCCCTCCCTGCCTTCCCCTCCGCTCATCGGCACGAAAATGAAAAAGGGCGCTCGCGTTTTCGCGCGGTTGAGACCCGCTCGATCGGTCCCTTTCTCCCCCAACCCTCCCCTTCTTTCGACGAGACACGAGGGTGGTGGTTCTCGCGCGCGACGAGAAATAATTACGCGGCGAAAGGGGACGTTTTCCACCGATACAACACACACCCACCCACCCACGTGCAATGCGCGCTACTACGTGCCGCATTTGAATGCATTTTTAACGCGTTGCCGGGGGATGACGGCGATGAGATGCGACGATGGGTGAAGGTGAGTGAGAAGGATGAGAGACTGTGAGAATTTGACGATCGTCTCTCTTTGCAAATCTAATGTTTTGTTAAATATTTAATTTCCACCCGGTATATTGTATATATTTTTCGCAAGGATTCGGATTTTTTATCGGAGTTTTTTTTTTTTGGTTTGTAAACTCTTGTAAGCGGATTTTTATTATCTATTTATGTGCGGGGGAAATTGGGGAGGAAGGGGTTGATCACAAAGTTCCTCTTTCGCGGGAAGGGAGTAGGAGATTAGAATTTTGGAGCGTGGTTACGATAAAGTGTGTGCAACGATATATATAATGGGGGGAGAAGGGGAAGAGAGTTAAAAAATAAAACAGGAATACAAATGGAGTATGGAATTTCCGGGTCGCGTAACGTTACGAGAATTTAATTGGATTTTAAAAGTGGACTTCCTGCGAAGTTGTTTCCTGTTTTTCCCGCGGAATTTTAATGCGCGTGAATTCGTGGTTTCGTAGGATAATTCGTGGGATAGGGTGTAATTATTAAATCCATCCACGTTGATACAACGTTTCTTCTGAATTAATACACGATTTAAATATATGTATATATATATATATATATATATAGACAGAAGTTGAAGAATTTTATCAATGACGAGATCGTACGGTTTTAATATCTTATTAAATCTAAACAATTTAAATTGCCTATTTTATTTTTGCATTTATATCGTTATTGTAATTTATCCCAAAGCTATGACCGAAAAAAAAAAAAAAAAAAAAAAAAAACTCTATCGAACTTAATACCTAAATTAAAACCAAACGCTGCTCCCCCTCCTCCCCCTGTATAAATATCACGCTTTGTAAAGTATTTTAACATTTTACATTACTTTTTATATGGCACATTCGTTCGTGAAATTTTCGCGAAAATTTCCGCGTCCCGTTATTAATATATCCCGCCACAAATTCGCAATGAAATAATTATCGCTGCCGTTGGACTCGTCTGAAATGAAATGTTTGTTGGCAGCCGACACGCGTGTCCATTTGGAAGGGATTACACGAACGTTTACACTCGTCGCCCGTTAGTCAACCCGCGCCACCACCCCTTTTCCTAAAGCCTCGAATCGCGCTTCGAGGGGTGGTAATCTCTCCCGTATTCAACCCGCGCCAAATCAACCCTTCAATCTGCCTTCGTATCTGCCTTTCGCCCCGCGAATAAGGGGAGCCGAACGCGAGCATGTGACTTCGTGAAACGGGGACGGGGTTTTTTTAATGGATAGGAATCTTTGCGATCTTCTTTTCGATCACGATGTTGAATCGAAAGTTGTAGTAACGAAAAGAAGGGAAATTTAGAGAAAATTGTATAAAATACGATGCTGGAACTCGCGCGTCAACAATCGATTTTTTATTCGATCGATAATTTAAATCGAAAGTTGTAGTAACGCAAAGAAGGGAAATTTAGAGGGTGGAGAGAAAATTTGGGAATCTGAAAGTTTTATAAATTGCGATGCTGGAACTCGCGCATCAATAATCGATTTTTTATTCGATCGCTAATTTAAATCGAAAGTTATCGTAAAGCAAAGAAGGGAAATTTAGAGGGTGGAGAGAAAATTTGGGAATCTGAAAGTTTTATAAATTACTGGAACTCGCGCGTCAACAATCGATCTTCTATTCGATCGATATTTTAAATCGAAAATTGTAGTAATGAAAAGAAGGGAAATTTAGAGAAAATTGTATAAAATACGATGCTGGAATTCGCGCGTCAACAATCGATTTTTTATTCGATCGATAATTTAAATCGAAAGTTGTAGTAACGCAAAGAAGGGAAATTTAGAGGGTGGAGAGAAAATTTGGGAATCTGAAAGTTCTATAAATTGTGATGCTGGAACTCGCGCATCAACAATCGATCTTTTTTTCGAAAAAAAGGAAATTTAGAAGGTGGAGAGAAAATCGTATAAATTGCGATGCTGGAACTCGCGCGTCAACAATCGATCTTCTATTCGATCGATATTTTAAATCGAAAATTGTAGTAACTCTAAGAAAGCAAATTTAGAGGGAGAGAAAATTCTATAAATTGCGATGCTGGAACTCGCGCGTCAACAATCGATTTTCTATTCGATCGATAATTTAAATCGAAAGTTATTAAAGTAACGCAAAGAAGGGAAATTTAGAGGGTGAAGAGAAAATTTGGGAATCTGAAAATTCTATAAATTGCGATACTGGAACTCGCGCGTCAACAATCGATCTTCTATTCGATCGCTAATTTAAACCGAAAGTTATTAAAGTAACGCAAAGAAGGGAAATTTAGAGGGTGAAGAGAAAATTTGGGAATCTGAAAATTCTATAAATTGCGATGCTGGAACTCGCGCGTCAACAATCGATTTTTTATTCGATCGATAATTTAAATCGAAAGTAGTAACGCAAAGAAGGGAAATTTAGAGGGTGGAGAGAAAATTTGGGAATCTGAAAATTCTATAAATTGCGATACTGGAACTCGTGCGTCAACAATCGATCTTCTATTCGATCGATAATTTAAATCGAAAGTTGTAGTAACGGAAAGAAGGGAAATTTGTAAATTTAGAGGGTGGATAGGGAGAGCTCGTAAGAAATCTGAAAATTGTATAAATTTCGAAAGCTTGGAAATCTGTGTGTAAATGTAAGGGTATAATAATTCGTAAGGGGGTGGTTCGCAGTTAAAAATTAATTTCGCGAGTTCGTTATTCTCGAGTGGAAAGAAGGAACGGAATTGTATATATAAAAATCTCGGAAGCATCCCTCTTGGGATCCTTGTTTTCCTTTATTTCCCATCTTCCGATAATAAGGACAGGTTTCTTGCTCGATCCGGATTTCAATTTAAAACAGGTTTTCGGCTCGCGCGAAATTACCATCGGCCAAGGACGTTCCGCGACTCGATGCAATTTGTCGTCGATTTGACGAACACTTAAGGGACCAACGATCCAACGATTCCACTTATCCCAACGTTCAATAAAACGTTAATAATCCTGTTTAATCCACGAGCCATCCTCCCTCCTACCCCGCCTATTCGTATCTCTTCATTCGTTTATTCGACGAATCGAAACCATCCGAGATATAATAATCAATAAATGCAATAATATCGTAAATTGATAATTATTTGTCGGTGAGTAGGCGGGAGTGTCGTGAATCTGGTTTCGAATAATCTAAAACCCAGATACGAGAGCAATATTTATCCCATTATAAAATATCCGTTTTCAAATCTCTATTTCGAGTTCGATCGACGAGTATGTGAAAGTATCCTCTAATAATAATCCAACTCGTATACGCGTTATATTATAATTGTGTTGATACGATACCAGCTTCGAAACAAGAATAACAAATATTTTCAAGAATCGTCACCGACACCTGTTAACGTTGTTTACAGCATAACACTTCGATTATTTTCCTTCTTAAAATATAAAATATTTCCTTCTTAAAATATAAAATATTTCCTTCCTAAAAATATCCTCGACGAACAATCGAAGATCGACTTCCCTCTCATTCCACGATTCGTAAACGTGGCGATGATCATCGATGATTAATAAACCACAACACACGTTGGAACGAAAGTAGGAAATAATAGCCGCGGATTGGAGAACATCTTCGCGGCGGATGATCTCCCGTGAATGTATGCAGAATTGTCGAGCGGGGTGAAGAGGGCTCTAACGATCCGGAGGGAGGGGAGGAATTTTGTGAAAATCGAGGTCGCGCGTTCCTCCCTTCTCCCTCCTTGTGTCTTTCCAGGTTTTAGAGGGGAACGATAATAATCCAGCTCGTAGCTGGAAAGTTTTGATCGTCTTGGAACGTGGTCCGGTTTTACCAGGCCAATCCTTTCGAAGGTATTTCGAGAGGATTTGAAATATATCGGGGGGAGAAAGAGGGGGGAATTTTAGAGTTTTCGGGAGGAAATTGGAAATTTAATTTGCAAAGTTTCGGGATTTCGGGGAATTCGAGTTGTTGGTCGCCAATTTCCGCGGGCAAGCATTTAAGTATTTACCAATCTGGAAATTTGGACACGTTTAGAAATTTAGAAATTCGAAAGATTTCCTTGCTAAATTCGGGAATTCGAGCGAAATTCGAGAATTTCTTTGAATCTAAGAATTCAAGATTTTACTTTTCGAAACTCAAGGGAAAAAATCTTGGAATCTTAGAGGAAGCTAAGAACCGAAGAATTCGTTTATCGTATACAATTTTTAATTAGAATCCACTTTTGTTTCCAGGCCTCAAGTACCTTCACTCGGCCAGAATCTTGCACAGGGACATTAAGCCAGGGAACTTACTCGTGAACAGCAATTGCGTGCTGAAGGTAAGCAATCCCGATTCAACCCCCTTTCTCTCGCTCGACGAGATACGAAATAAGAGGAAGAAGTAAAAGAGGGAGGTTTCTTCTCTCTCTTTCTCTCTCTCTCCCCCTGCTCACATATAATAACAACGAAGAAGAATTACACGTTATTCTTGGCGAACAGATCTGCGACTTCGGTTTGGCCCGAGTGGAAGAACCGGATCAGAACAAGCACATGACCCAGGAAGTGGTGACGCAGTATTATCGCGCGCCGGAGATCCTGATGGGGGCGCGGCACTACACGGCCGCTGTCGACGTTTGGAGCGTCGGTTGCATTTTCGGGGAACTCCTTCGCAGGAGGATCCTTTTCCAGGCGCAGAGCCCTGTGCAACAGGTCAGTCATCTATCCACCGTTAACACCAATTTTTCTCGAAGATATTTTTCAGAAAAAAAAAAAAAAAAAAAAAAAATACCGCGAGGACGAGTCGATAATTTAACAAGTATATATACACACGATATTATCCTCGATATTTATAATAAAGTAAATTAAATTTTACCTCGATCGAAAATTCGAATATTTTATTCTTATTCTTATTCGTTGGATGATGGTAAAATGTCCATTGATAAATTTCGTGAGAGAAAAAGAGTTTGAGGAGGAGAGTCATCGAGAAACGCAGGAGGATTCGCAGGCATCGGCATAAGTTGCAAGAGCAAGGAAGGATCTCCTCTTTTTCGAAACGATTCATTTCCCCCCCTCCCCCCCCCCCCTCTCTCTGGTGCACCATCGAGCAAAGTTGTCGCACGGTCGCAAAGGGGAGAGCGGATATTTTAAAATGGAGCACGTTTTCATTCGCTTTGCAGCTGGAACTGATCACAGAATTGCTGGGCACGCCAACCCTCGAGGACATGAGGTTCGCGTGCGAGGGTGCGAGATCCCACATGCTGAGGCGCGCGCCGAAGCCACCCTCGTTGACGGCTCTCTACACCCTTAGCAGCCAGGCGACGCACGAGGCCGTCCATTTGCTCTGCCAGATGCTAGTCTTCGATCCTGTAAGTTTTCTTCTCCCTTTTCTTTTCCCGCCCATCTAGGCATATTTTATTATATTTTCTTTCTTCTTTCTTGGAAAGAGAGCTTGGAGGAAAACTTGAAGCGTCTATTTTTTTTTTTTTTTTTTCTTTTTTTTTTTTTTTTTTTTTAGATCGTAGAGAATAAGATTAAAATTATATAGACGTATTTTGATAAAATATAAAATTATATAAAAGATATAATTATATAAAGATAAAATTATATAGACGTATATTCGTGAAAATGTGAAATGTTTGGGGATTGATGAGATTTTATTTTTAGATCGAACAGAAAAAACGAAGAATACGTTAGGCTGTTTGTAAATATTATTCGTCGTTGCTTGATATGCTTGATATTGAAAACGACGAAGATATAGGAAGGAAATAATATTAGATAAGATCAAAAGATTTCTTACTCCTAAAAAAAAAAAAAAAAAATTAGTCTCGAAAGATCAATAATTTAATATTTACAACTTTGTGTATGACGGATCTTCGTTTCGTTTATAGATATATCTTTAAAAAAATAGAAACGAAAAATTAATTTTGATAATATGATGATATACGTGAGCAAATTATAATTCACGAGGATAAAAACCGAGAAGATTCCATTGAAAAATTGAAATTTGATTTAAACAATGTTTCAATTAGAAGAATTGAACACGAGTCGAAGATCGAAATCCAACTTTCTAAAATACTCGAGAGACGAAACGAGACTTTCTTCTCGCTCTCTCTCTCTCTCTCTCTCTTTCTCTCTAAAAATCGCCAATTTATACCGGTTTGAAACGAATCTTCAACTGTGAAATTCCGAAAGTTGGTCAGCTTCTTTACTTAAATTAATCATCGAGCTGGCCAACTTCCGTTTACACGGCGGGTTAACAAGCAAGTTTCCGGCGGTGACGTTATCGCTTCTTCTAACCACCCTTATCGACGTCCTCATCCTCCATTCCTCCACTTCCTCCGCGAACTCGAAACTGCATCACGCACCACGCTTCGTGAATCGCAAACCGAACCAAGCGAGCGAAGACAGAGAGGAGAGAGAGAGAGAGAAAAAAAAGAACGTGAAATAAAAACGTCGAAAGGAATATTCACGTGTTAATAACAAAAAAAAAAAAAAAAAAAATACTTGGAACGATGACCACCACGACATCGTAAAATTCTCGAGCCAATGTGCTCGAATATATATAACCGAGGTTGCAATAAAATCTTTACTGTCTTCTGTCCTCCCTATACTTAAAAAAAAAAAAAAAAAAAAAAAAAAAAGAAAGAAAGAAAGAAAGAAAAAAAAATAATAAATCGAGGAGAGAGTTGAAAAGGAGAGGAGGGAGCCCATACGTGTCGCGAACGTCGATATTTTTACCGCGAGGTAAAAATAACAAAGGCACGTCAGAGAATTTCAATAATTCCATTAAAATTAAGAGAGTCTGAGCCCGTTATTGGCTTCGTTCGAACAACCGACGATCTTCTTTGCGTGTTAAACGCACCAGCAACCTACTTCTCCACTTGAATCCTCCGTGGTGTTGTTCGTTAGATCGCTCGTACGCCACGCTCGGATCGATGTCAAGTCTGAGTGAAACGATAAAATTGAAATAATGGTCGATCCGTTTCGTTTTTTTAGAACAAGTAACTGGGAATAATGGCGGTTAATAATCGAGATGAACGCGACTTTTCTCACGAGACTTTGTTTCATCGTTGTTGTCATTGGAAATTGGAATATACGTGTGTATATATATATATATATATATATACACAACAGCTTGGAAACTTTTCTTCGTGGATTCTTTACAATGGGGTGTTTTGATACGTTTCGTGGCTTCCTGCATTATAGCGGGAAAACAAGAGAGGATTCGCGGAGGCTTAATTAGAATCATCTGAAGTTTCTGGAATGGAAAAGACCAGGAGGAAGTCGGAGGAGGAGAAGGGGGGAGGGATTAAAACTCGAAGGCGACACGAAAAATGTGGTGGAAACTTTGAATTTATCTTCGAGTTCGTGTTGTTCCCGAACTCGAGGGAAAGAGAATATTTAAGTGAACGAACGTGGAAGTAAAAGATTTATTAGAAACTTTCCCTTCCTTTTTAACAATAATTTATCAAAAAAAAAAAATCGAAGAAATAATACGTGTAACCGTAGAACATTGAAAAATGAAGTCGAAAAATAAAGATAAAAAATTAGACGACTTTATAACCAATAAATTCATCCCTAAAAAAATATCCAAATTCAGTTTTTTCCCCCACCTCCTAACAAATCAACGTATAATAAATTAATCACCCTCGTACAGATAACCAAAGTCTAGAAGAAGCACAGTTTTTTTTTTTTTTTTTGATATCGATCGTGTTTTGACCGTGTTCACGAACTTCCCGCAGGACAAGAGGATCACGGTGGTGGATGCACTGGCGCATCCCTATCTGGACGAAGGGAGACTGAGATATCACTCGTGCATGTGCACGTGTTGTTACACGACCAGCGGCGGTTTGAGACAGTACACGGGTGATTTCGAGCCGGCCACGTCGCATCCGTTCGACGATCTTTGGGAACGGAAGCTCACCACTGTGCAGCAGGTGAAAGGTAAGAGGAGCTCCTCGAACGAGGTATTCTTTTAGAAAGTCCTTTTTTAAATAGTAAGTAGCCTTTTTGAATTTTTCTTTTTGTAATTTTGCCTGGCGACTTTTGCTAACTCTGTCACTTTGTTCGATCGATTGTTATTGGTATCAGTTTGCAATTTTTTTTTAATTTTTGAAAAATTCAAAAAGCAGACACAGCGATTCTCCACACTTTATTCCATCGAATGGAGAGAGAGAGAGAGAGATATGCACTCGAGAGATTGCATGCCTCGGCTAAAGAATCGGTAAATCCTGGAATTTCCCCTCGTTTCGACGAAGAAGATAAATGAAAACGTGATCGTAACACTTTGTCAAAAATTCTACTTCCAACTTGTTCTTCTTCTTCGTCCACGATGTTTACAACGAAAATCCAACCAAGATGTTTACCAAAAACGCTCCCAAACATGTTTCCCTCCTTCTTCCCTCCTTCGAATCGAAAGAAGAAGAAAAATTAAATCATCGCGGAGGAAATCTCAACTTCGACGAAACAAAAGGGGGAAAACAAATTTATTTCACCATCTCCTCTACCTAAACCAACTACTACTACCCCGGCATCGAGAAATTTTCTGCCGCAGATTCAATAAAGGCGGATCGATCGAGCGCCGCTAATAAATCGTGCCTCGTGAATTTTCCACGATTTTCAGAGGCGTTCTTAACGCCAACGCCTCGTGACTCGAACCATATTCGTGGCGCCAATAACGAGCCGACGTTCGACGAATACTAAATAAAGTGGGACGAGGGAAGAGCTCTGTATCCTGAGGAATAAGATACATTTTTTTTCTTTTTGTCAATATGGAAAAATGTAATATTCAAAAGATATTACAATTGAATATTAAAATCAAAATATTTCGAAGAGGATTACACTCTGTTCTTTTTTAAATAATTTGCTAATAAAAAATGAAATTTGAAAATATCTTGAAGAAATACAAAGAAGAGTTCAGAGTAGAGGATTATTATTCGTTAAAACAATTTCTTCAAATTATTTTAAATTATTGGCACAAAGAAACGACAAGTTACTTATAACCTAATCCTCCATTATCAGCAATCTAATCTCCCCCCACCCCCCCCAATAAAACTTGTTCCAATAAAAGATGGTGGGGGAAATACCAAGACTCCGACAATTTTAAAAACGGACTTTGCTACTTTGCTCTCCTGGTCACGGTCGCGGAGTAATCGGGGGGAGGGGAAGGGTGAGCCCGCCGACACGACACCGCATTAATCCACGGGAGAAAAAATGCATCATGCATCTGTGTGACTCACGCGCGGATTATTAATAGAAAACGTCTTGGACACGTGGCTTGGAACCGTCGTACGCGGGAACAACGTGTATTGCGTGTGTCCCCGCGTTAACAGTACCCGATAAGTCATCGTTTATCATTGGAGGAGGGGAGGAGGGGGTCGCATTTATCGCGGCCGATTTTCTCTCGTCGATAGAATCGCGTTTCCAATGTCTCGTTTCACGCTATATATTCGTTAGCGAAAAGGGGGGGGATCGTTTCGAAATCTTGGTCCGAAACGAATCTGTTTCCATTCGAAATTCGAGTTGCTTATCGAAACCACGGATGTATCTTTTTTTTTTTTTTTGGAGAAACTCCGATCTCGCAATTTTAAAAAATAAAATCTTTAAGAAAAATTATCGAGATAGAATATAAAGATATTCTACGATTGAATATCTTGAATCTCGCTCGATTGAAAATCGTTATGTTCGTATAATTAGACGAAGAGGTGGTCTCTATCTGAACGAAACGTTAAGAAAGAAGATAATTGGGGACAGAGACAATTGGTTATCAATTACGATTGATTAGCACGAGTTTGATTTCGCGTTTGCCGGACTTGTCCCGGCTGTAGAATAGTCGCGGACGATTGCACGTGTCCAGGAAAGGTGTCGTAAGGCGAAACGCGCGGCGAGGAGGACAAAGAGGTGGCTGGATGGGTTGATGGGAGATGCCAGAAAGCTTTCTCGGAAGTTCGTAAATTTTTTATTACCGCGTCCGAGGCGAAAGAAGTGGTTCCATTTTCGTGATGGTCGGATAAAGAGCGTAACAATTTGAAAAATTTAAAATTAAAAAAGAAAATTGAATGCCTGCTCGTGAATGGCAAGATTATTGTGTAATATGTTTTATATAATGGAAGAGGAGAGATGTTATAGAGATGTCCCACCATCTTTTATTGCTTATTACTTTTCATTCGTAAAATAATGATAGAAATCGAGTTTATGTAATAATTTACCGATTTCACCCGTCGCGCATGCGTCCTTTCTTCAATTTTAGAAGAAAACTCACTTCGATATACGCGCACAGAATTTCACCGCAAATATAATTTCAAATTTCAAACCCCCTCCCAAAAATTCAAGCAATTCTGTCGGATCGTTTAGAATACGATTGGCAAGAAATTCTTCTTCGAAGAAACGTCCGCTAACTACGTATAAAATTTTACGCTATTATTATCGCTCAATTAAAAATCTACCTAGACCATAGAACCACGAAATGTACACCCTAAAACTAAATTCTTCGTTTTCTTTCTATCGTCCCCCAACCCCTTTCTTAATACACCCCACGCAAGACGAGGCTAATCTGCGAATGACAACAACGAAGCGTAAACAATCGATCCAACCCTCTTCCCCCTCGACTGCCCTTCTCCCTCAAGAGGTTCGCAGGAACGACTCGTCGTCCCCCGACGACGAGGGCCAAACCTTCGTGCGCTCCTCCTCCCCCCTTCCTCCACCACCACCACCAACACCGGGGAGCCCAGACAGTACGCCGATATTCACCCAACGTTACGACGTTGTCTGTTTCAGAGGAAATGCACAAATTTATAGCGGAACAGCTGAACACGTCGCGCGTGCCGCTCTGCATAAATCCGCAGTCCGCGGCGTTCAAGAGCTTCGCAAGGTAAGCCCTTAGGTGGCGGATCATTCGTAGAATTGATTGATTTAAAAAAAAAAAAAAAAAAAAAAAAAAGAAAGAAAACGATCGATATATTGTGATTTCGCAAGCAGGCGCAAGAAATGAGAGAGATACGTTATTAGGGTAAAAAAAAAAAAAAAAAAGAAGGAAGGGAGGGAAATGGGTTCTTCTCATCATCGGTTTTAGGGAAAATACGTATGGGGGGAGGGGAGTAATAATACAGGGTTCCTCGAGAATCGAAGAGCCTCCTCCTCTCGTTGAATTTTCCCTTTGCGATGACCGCAACCTTCCTGATCCTTTTCTCCTGTGAAAGAAAAAAAAAAGACCACATTTCGAATCTCGTGCGGAAGGGATATTAGATAAATAAGGGGGAGGGAGAGGGTGGGAGGCGCGTGTATATGCAGAGAGAGAAAGAGAGAGAGAGAGAGAGGGAGAGAGAGAAGAGGGGCACACAGTGTATTTTCCTTTTTCCAAGTCGATCTGGTAAGAGGAGAGGAATTGGATTGAGAATGGAAGAAAGAAGGAGGGGGAGAAAAGAGAAAAGATGGACAAAAGAGAGGGGAGAAAAGGCAGAGAAACGGGCATAAGGGCGTAACGTAGAACGGAAATTAAAAGCGAGGTGGAGGACGAGGGAGAAAAGAGAAAGCTGATGGGAAGACAGAGAGAGAGAGAGAGAGAGAGAGTGTGTATGCGTTTGTGGAAGCGAAATGAACGATCGAAAGGAACAAGGAGAGAACGATCTTTTGTCCAAGAACCACCCTCCTCGCCGATGTCCTTTTGCTCTCTGCGTTCTGGCCCTCGAAAAACTTCGTGGTCGATTCTTCTGCGGGGTGCGGAGAAACGATTAAGAATTTAACCCTTCCATTGTTGTTGTTGTGACGCAATATATATCGTATTTTTTCACTCGTGAATTTATAACGATTATTAGCAGTATCGAGAATTATGATAATACAAGTCAAAGGAATGTGATTCCTTGCTTTGTATAACATTACCAAGATTTATAATATTCGTTCGTAGTTGTTTATACGCACATACGTTTTATATTGCAAAAAATATCGTTGAATCGAACGCCTTTTGTCCCTTGATTCCTAGAAAAAAGAAAAGAAGAAACAAAATTGAAAAATAGAAAAGAAGAAAAACCTCTTACTGTTATCGTGACAGACGCTGTGTGCAAACTCTTGGTACATAAAAGACATGGAGAAAGAGAGAGGGAGAGTGAGAGTGTATATGTGTGTGTGCGAGAGAGAGAGAGAGAGAGAGAGAGAGAGGGAGGGAGGGAGAGAGAAAGAGAGAGAGAATTAAAATTGAGATCTTGAGAAAAAAAAAAAAAAAAAAAAAAGAAAAAAATGGATCATTAAGGACAAAAGTAAAAGGGTCAGAAAGAAATGAAAGCTTGTTCGAAGAGAAAAGCGCTTAGAATTTCTAAATTAATCTCCCTTAAATCCCTTAAGAAAGCTAATAAAGAAAAATGATGATGATGATGATAATAATAATAATAATAATAATAAAGAGAAAAAATAGTAGAGGAAAAAAAAAAAAATTCATTCTTTCTTTTCATATGTGATCTTGAAATGATGTGTAACATTATTTCTCGTGTTGCTTACTGCCGTCAAGTTAGAGCAAGCCGATCGCCGACCCAGCGCCCTACGCCGCGTATACGTACACGTTACTACCACTACCAGTACCGAATCAGCTATCTACCACTGTCAGCTACTATCGACTACTACCGCTATCGTCTACCACTACTACTACTACCGCTACTACCACTACTACTACCACTACTACTACCAATCGTGTTACGTCTCCTCCTGAACGAACCGAACGAACAGAGAGTCAGCTCTAGCCGGCGTGACCTCGCTCGCTGAGGTACTTGAACAAACCATTTTACCAAGCATATCTTTTTTGCATTTCCCCCCCCCCCCTCCCCTTTCTTTATTTACTTGTTCTCAATCAAATTTTTATCCGTGTATCTCGTTTCGATTTGTATCATATATTTTTCACTTGTATTTTTTTTCTCTTCTTCTTCTCCCCCTCCTCCTCGCATCTTTACTTTCTCTCTTCTTCCCTTTCACCCTCGTTTCACCCTGTTTGATCGAACAATATTTATTAAGTAACAAAGTATGTGATAAACCATTTCTTACTGTNTTATTTTTCTTTCGATAGAGACTTTTGTATGATTGATACTGTGTATATATAAATATATACATATATACATATATATATATATATATATACTGTGAATGAGTATAGAGTCAAATAGCTTGATATATATATATATATATATATATGTATGATGGGTCCTCGTGAAACACACGTTGCCGGATGCACACGCCACCGACCAGCTCGCTCGACCGACTTCCGATCCAAGCCTGACACGATTCGAGAAGCCTTCCCGGCTACTTGGAATCGTAAATCTCCTATAATTGAGTTTGCTCTCTCTCTATTGGCCTGCTCCTCGAAGGTCTGCCAATTTTATCGATCGATTCGTCCCCAATTTCAAACGCGTTTAATCCTCGTCGCGTGATGTTACACGACGTTACGACGAGAGAAAATTGAATTAACGGGAGAAAAATTACACGTCGGGAGAAATTCTGGAGGGAGAGAGAGAGAGAGAGAGGGAGAGAGGGAGAGAAAAGGGAAAAAGAAAAGGATGCCCTCTTTCCTTGAAAAGAAATATGGGGATTCTTCGAGTTCCCTCGCGCGTGTACAGTTTTCTCAATCGCCTAAATGGAACAGGATGCGATGAAACTGGAATTCCTATTTTCTTCTCTATTCAAATTTATCAAAGTTTTTTTTTCACGCGTATCGATATTGGATAACGCGAATTGGAGAACGCCTCGATCGTTGTTTGGCAAGTAACATTTTCCTTTTACCGATAACTTTTAATAAGGAAAAAAAAGAAAAAAAAATAGAAATTCCAAATACCATACGTGAAAAACTATCGACAAGATAAAATATTTGCAAATCTACTACTTTGAATGAAAGGCGCGAATAGTCTCTCTAATTGGGATTCACTCGTCGCTTTTCATCGAGTTTTGCTAATTAACAGCAGCTCGACCGATTAAAGAGACCTTTAACGAATTAACGAACGACACTCGTGGAAAAGAAAAAGTGGATATAAAATCCTGGATTAAAGATCAGATTAAAGATAACGCGTATGCAAAGTCCGTTTCCCAAGTTGGGGGATCTTCGAGGAGCTCGAAGGAACAAGTTACGTGCAATAATAATAAATAAATAATAATTGCATCTTATCTCACGTTTGATACACAACTGACTAAGCAAGAATTAGGGTTGATCGTTTGAAAAATTTGTCTCTTTTTTTTTTTTTTTTTTTTTTTTTTGTATATCATCGAGATGGACTGGTCGCTGGTGTGTTATTTTTTATTTTTTTTTTTTTTGTTTCTTACATTTTGATCGCTGTGAAAGTGGTACTTGTAAATAACGCTGAGAGAGAACGGCTGAAAAGAGCGCTTTGTTGGACACGAGGAGTGTAAGAAAGGCCTGATCAACCATGCAGCATTCAGTTGAGAGAAACGGGCCTGAGAGAGGAGAAAAGAAATATGATTTAAAAAAAAAAAAAAACGATTGGACGGATCGCGATTTTTATCGAGAATCGGACAAAGGGGGGGGAAAAAAACGATACTCTCTTTCGTAGAAGCACCTGGATAGGATCCTCTTCAAACTGATCTCCATTCTCCTGAGAATGATTTCCTAGAGAAAATCCAAATAAATGGATGTCTAAAAATGCCTATTTCCCAAAAAAAAAAAAAAAAAATTTTTTATTTCCATGGAAATCCAAACGCTTCATTTTTCCACTTGATGATGGATATACCTTTCTGATCCATCTGAAAATTAATCCATATTTCAAACGAATATTTTCCATCTAATATTACCATTCTGAGAGTTTAATCCTTAAACGATTCCCATCCCTGAATATATCCTTCGAATCGATAATTCTATATTCAATAAGTGATTTTCGACTGGAAGTCCTGGCGTGATCTGGCTGTTGGCACAATGACCGTAATCTTCGAATTAACACAATTATTAATTTTTTACATATATATATATTTTTTTTTTATCGTTTAAAGCGTATTACGAGCATCGAAGATAAAAAAAAGGAAAGATGAAACTTTATCCGCAATGTTCCCAAAGAAAATAATTTTTATTTTTTACATGTATTCCTTTTTTTTCCATTTTTGACTTTTGTACGCTGTTTTTGTAATTCTTCTTTTTTTTTTTTTTTTTTTTCTTTCTTTTTTTATCCATTCTCTTTTGCAAAGATTGTACGGTACAATGGTAGACGGAGGCTGAAAAGAGAATTTTTTCGCCGATCTATCGACGGTAACCACGCAGAATGTGCGCGTGATTTTTCAAGGACCAATGACCCGCGAAGTTATTACTGTCATTTCGCCAAATCCGGGACGCGACATGGGTTTTTCGGTTTGGAAATTTTCTCCACCGCCGGATTTGCTTTGCCAAGAGCAGTGATACGCGATTGACTAACGAAGAAAATTAGTTTCTTCTCTCGTTGTTCGACTTTTATTCGCGATCGAATAACTGTTGAATTCTCGCCTTCGATCCCGCCCCCTCTTATGATAGGAAAAAAATTAAAATATAAAAAAAAATAAAATATAAAAATATTCTCGCTTTGTTTTCACGATTCGTATCTTATAATAATATCTTCGAAGAATTCCATTGGCATGGATAAAAATTATTTTCGTGTATCGTAAACTAAAGTCCCCGATTGGTTCAATGGAATATCGAAGATTTCTCTTTTAGAAAAAGAAAAAAAAAAAAAAAATGCGAAGAAGCCTCTCGTGTCACCGCGAAACAGCGAGAAACGGAATTTCGCGAGAAACGGTCGGGCGTGCAAAAGCGAGCGGGGCTAACGACACAGCGCGGCGTCGCTTTTATCCGCTTTGGACGAGGAGGAGGAAGGCGGAGAAAAGAAGCGACCGGGGTCACTTTTAATCTTTTTTCCATTT